CAGGTGTCATACAGCTACAGTAGATTTTATAAATAATATAAATTAGGTGTCATACAACTACAGTAGATTTTATAAAGATTAGACAGGTGTCATACAGCTACAGTAGATATTATAAATAGTATTAATTAGGTGTCATACAGCTGCAGTAGATTTTATAAATAGTATTAATTAGGTGTCATACAGCTGCAGTAGATTTTATAAATAGTATTAATCAGGTGTCATACAGCTACAGTAGATTTTATAAATAGTATTAATCAGGTGTCATACAACAACAGTAGATTTTATAAACAGTATTAATCAGGTGTCACACAACTACAGTAGATTTTATAAATAATATTAATCAGGTGTCATACAGCAACAGTAGATGTTATAAATAGTATTAATCAGGTGTCATACAGCAACAGTAGATTTTATAAATTATAAAGCTACAGTAGATATTATAAATAATATTAATCAGGTGTCATACAACTACAGTAGATTTTATAAATAATATTGCTACAGTAGATATTATAAATAGTATTAATCAGGTGTCATACAACAACAGTAGATATTATAAATAGTATTAATCAGGTGTCATACAACAACAGTAGATTTTATAAACAGTATTAATCAGGTGTCACACAACTACAGTAGATTTTATAAATAATATTAATCAGGTGTCATACAGCAACAGTAGATGTTATAAATAGTATTAATCAGGTGTCATAGAGCAACAGTAGATTTTATAAATAGTATTAATCAGGTGTCATACAGCAACAGTAGATTTTATAAATAATATTAATCAGGTGTCATACAACTTCAGTAGATTTTATAAATAGTATTAATCAGGTGTCATACTGCTACAGTAGATTTTATAAATAATATTAATCAGGTGTCATACAGTTACAGTAGATTTTATAAATAGTATTAATCAGGTGTTATAAAGCTACAGTAGATATTATAAATAATATTAATCAGGTGTCATACAACTACAGTAGATTTTATAAATAATATTAAACAGGTGTCATACAGTTACAGTAGATTTTATAAACAGTATTAATCAGGTGTCATACAGCTACAGTAGATTTTATAAATAGTATTAATCAGGTGTCATACAGCTACAGTAGATTTTATAAATAGTATTAATCAGGTGTCATACAGCTACAGTAGATTTTATAAATAGTATTAATCAGGTGTTATACAACTACAGTAGATTTTATAAATAATATAAATTAGGTGTCATACAACTTCAGTAGATTTTATAAATAGTATTAATCAGGTGTCATACTACTACAGTAGATTTTATAAATAATATAAATTAGGTGTCATACAACTACAGTAGATTTTATAAATAGTATTAATCAGGTGTGATACAGCAACAGTAGATTTTATAAATAGTATTAATCAGGTGTGATACAGCAACAG